TCGAATTCCTTTTCTCTGCCCGGGTGATGGTTTCATGCTCCATAAGAGTCCCATAGCTGAAACTCCGCGATAAGATCCACCAACAGATGGTTCACGACAAACATCAACTCGGCCATGTCTGGTAGCGGTGAAGTGAGCGTGTGACTCGAACTCTTGCCCGCTATCTCCAACAACTCGTGCCCCGAGTGTAATCTTCTGCAGTGATTTCAGTCGAAATACGTTAATCTTAGTTATTTTGTCGATGAGTGAGAATTTTGGCCACAAGGTAAGCATCTTCTTTGAAATTAACGACAAACCTGCCCGAGATTGAGTCAACGAGTCAACACCTATTGAGTCAACGACCTATTGCGTAAATCATCTCTTCTTGCATAAGTCCTTAACATTCTTGACAGTGACGCATTGTTCCCGGAAGGGTGGACAATGATTGGTCGCAATTAAAAGAGGTGAGGTAAAAGGACCTCACTAAATATCCAAAATATCAACGACAAACGACTTGGCAAATATTCAATATGGCGGCCGAAAATTACTGCAGTCGATTTCCTCGTTCATTTTAAATCTATATTCTTCTGCAAAGAGTTACCATTCTGTAAGGAAGGTTTGAAGTTTCCATAAATGTTTGCTTTCATATGTTCGTAACGTGTGAAGGTTTTGTCGTGCATATCGTTCAAACAAAGATCTTTTGCCGTCGCTTATAGGGGTCCCTATGAGTCATCCCTTGGTCCTCTTGAGACATCCCGGTATAGAATATGGATTAATTTCTGGAGAAACATTTTAATATCACATCTTAAGTGTTTGTGACAAAAGTCCTTTTGAGATTAAGCTTTTTCCCTCGTATTTTTCCTACAGTAAACTTCACATATTTTGAAGAGGTCATACACACACGGAGCTATAAAGCTGTTTTTTTTTCATTTTTTTATATTAAGCAATGGAATTATCTAGCAACCTTTATGGCATTGCAGGTGTAAAGTTATGGAATCCCTAATGAAAGGGTTTCCAAATCTCCACAAAAATGGTGGGTTAATTAGGGGAAAGAAATTGTGTGTGTAGAAAGTGTAGTAAGTGTAAAATGATGAAAAATAATACGTACCATTTGGCAGTGTAAAAATAAAAGGCTTAGTCGATGAAAAACTCTAATCTTAAGGGACCAACAAATAGCAAGGCAGCTACGTCAACCACAAGGACAGAGAAAGACAACAAACTCGCCTTCCTAGACAACGCAGTTTTAAGAGAACCTGAAGGCCGCCTCACGACCTGCGTATACAGGAAGCCCACGCACACCGATCAATACTTAGCGTATGATTCACACCACCCTCAATCAGTAAAGCGCGGTATTGTTAAGTGCCTTTACGAGCGCGCCAAACGTCTCGTAACAAAACCCTTCGACATCTCCGAGGAGCAAAAACATCTGTCATCTGTTCTGGTTTCTAATGGTTATACTTTTTCTTTCTTGCAGAAACTTACCAAGACCGGAAAAACCGAACAACATTGGCGAACCCGCCAACGAGTTCAAAGCTACTGCGGTTTTACCTTATGTCAAAGGTCTGTCCGAACAGCTTCGTCGTTGCCTACAACAACAAGGCGTACGCGCTATTTTTAAGTCGGAGACTACGCTAAGATCTCAGTTAGTACGACCAAAAGACGCTGTCGACCCGGCTAAACAAGATGGTGTAGTTTACAGGATTCCCTGTGAATGCAGCAAGGTGTACATCGGAGAGACTGGAAGACCTTTGCAGGACAGAATTAAGGAGCACGATCGAGACATTCGACTCGCGGTACCGAGACCTCCGCCGTTTCAGAGCATGCCCACAACACCGGACACAAGCCACTCTGGAACGAAGTAAAGTTTATTGATCGTGACCCTTATTACTACACGTGCAGGGTCAAAGAGGCAATTCATTTAAGACTTCACCCTAACAACATCAACAGGGATAGTGGAATAGAAATTCCAAAAGCGTGGATCCCCACGATCAAAAAACACAACAACAGGAGAGCCGTGCGAGGGAGCAAATCACTGATTGAACAGCAAGGATCAAAAATGCACCAATCAGAGCTGTTGAAAAACCACTAATCACAGCAGAGCATCATGCTTTATAAGATCACGCAGGACCAGTCGACGTCATCGCCTGAAGAAGACCAGCAGTATGGAGTCGAAACGTCTCGATCTACATCACACGTGAATAAATCGTGAGACAAACGAAAAACTTAGCTTTTAATGTTAACACTTGTATAAGTTTAAGGTTTAAGCTATTTCATTGAATTACATATATTCACTTTAGCACCTTTTTTACCAATCACACAGAATTAGACATTCTTAAAAAGCTTTAAGAGCAAATTCCTCCCTTGCAGTCATTTTTCTTCCATACCTAAGGAGAGAAAATAATCAAATTTTGAGTTAATATCTCAATAAAAATTTTGATTGTTGATCTTCGGGTTGCGGAAGGAAAACGTAATGTGCACTGATATAAACAGATGTAGGTAACTATTGAAAAGAAAAAAAAGGCTACCAGAATAAGTGGTAAAGTTCTTTTGTTAAAAATAAATGATATGTAGACAGCATTTACGAAATAGAGGACTTTTCCCCTGTTTGAATAATCCCATCCAAGCAGGACAGGGTTGGCAGGACTCTATGCAGTTATGAAAACCCGAGACGGAGTAGTAAGTGTGCATAAGAGGATTCTCTGGGCCCTCGGATTTGAAAACATGAGGCTATGCAAACATTAAAGAGTACTTCGTTTCTTTCAATAACATATTTCCCCAAAACTTGGATAATTCTGTACAGAGCTACGTGCCTTGTATATAAGTCCTTTCCCCCTTCCACCCCCCCCCCCCCCTCCTTCGAGTGGAAATTTTAAAATCAGAGGGCGTTTGGACGTTATGAGTCAGAATGATAGTTCATAATTTTCTCTGGAGATGTTGCTCAGATACCCTACAGGTACTTGTAAAAATCACGGCCGCCTATTTTTAAAGGCATTTTTCTGTAGAAATATCGTGAGTTAGTTCGTCACTTCAAAAAAAAAATAGCCGCATAAAGCTTTGCATAAGAGCAATTCAAAACGTGCAGGCATAGTGTTTAGGGACATCGAACCGAAACGATTTAATGAGCTACCGCGTGGGACTGGGCCACCTACATGATTGAATGGGAAAATGCAAGAGA